TGATGAAGAGGAGGCAAGTTTACTAAACCGCGTGTCAACATGCGGGTCTCAAGAATTATGCCGCACCGGCATGCAGTTTATTTATCATCTGGCATTCGTTCAAAGACTTCCTGCCAGAAGCGTTGTATTAAATCAAAGAATTATTAGACCTAGGGAGACAACCAAGTTTCGCAAGAATTACGGATATCTCTACAAATCGGTAAAATTATTCACGTCCAAACTAATCTTTAAATGTTGCAAAAATTTGTATTGCAAATTCTTACTTATACATGAAAAAAAAATATCTATATTTGCATCAATAAGAGTTCAATCAAGTCAAGACTAAAATTTTTCTTTTAGTCGGTGCAGTTTTAAAAGAAGATTATAATAATCTTGCTTATGAGAATCTATAATTTTGATTTAAGATTAATTTTTTTTTTCTGTGCATACGAAGTAGTTCGTATAACGTTCTCGCGGATTTCTTTGGCTCCTCCTCGTATCCTGGATAATCCGCGCTCCAATTTACGCGCGCTCTCGACTCCTTCGAGGCGGTCGATTTCCCGTTCAGGTGGGACGCATGTGGGATGCATTTCTGCGAAGTCGAGCAATACCCCGTTTACCATACGCACCATGCGAGTGGCAAGTGGTAATGGGCTAACAACTCTTGGCTCGCTAGAAATAGCGTATGCACGGGGCTAACCAATTAAACGCAATGGCAAGAGGAGGGCCTCTTCACGGCCATGACACTTAGCGGCCTTAAGTAGCGAGATTTAGAGGTGGCAGGTGCTCTCCCTTCTGATATCAGGGAGAGGACTCCTTCGTCCACTTCGTCCCCTCCTCTCTCCTCCTCCTCCTTCTCCTCCTCCTCCTCCTCCTCCTCCTCCTCCTCCTCCTCCTCTTCCTCCTCCTCCTCCTCTTCTTCCTCCTTCTTCTTCTTCTTCTTCTTCTCCCTTGCAGTTTCATCCCGTTTCCCTGGCGGGCGCCCCGAGGAAAAACACGTGAATGCCTGCCGCTGCTTTGGCAAGCACCGCCTTGCGTATTAATAATGAGCGCTTAACGCTGCGCCAAGCCAAGCGCCCGGCTTTCACATCTCCGAGAGCCTGGAGATCTGACGGCCGAGCCGGATGAGGAATCTCCGTCGTCGGCGGGTCTCTCAGAACGCGATGCGATGCAATGTGATGCGATGCGATGCGTATGAGGCACGCGTATATGTTCTTCCCGATCATTCCATTCCGCGGAAATCACGTTCTCGCAATTGAAGGAATGACGGTAGCTGCGTGCCCCCCCCTCTCCCCCCCTCTCCTCCCCCCTCACGTACTGCGTTCTTGTAAAATTAAGTTGTCTCGGGAAACGAGTTACATCATCTGCCAACGTGCGATATTATATGCAATTTAATGCGAAATTGACAAAATCCTCCTATGTTCTATTGAGGAAAGATGCACGTGGAATTGAATCAAACTACTCTGCTTGTTAATTTTTACAGTTGCAGATAAGATTGTCACGTGTCTAGCAACGATTACATCAGATTGCTGCTTTAATATGCAAGGAATTCATATTTCATAATTATATTTTTATGTGTGTGTGCATGTGCGTGCGTGCGTGCGTGCGTGCGTGCCGTAATAACTTCGTATAGCATACA